TTACTTCATCCAGTCAGTTTTTTAAAGACAGTGAATAGTAGAGAGAGGTGAATTGAGAATTAACAAATATTTTAAAATTATCATTTCCTTGACTCTGTTTTTATTTTATTTTTTTCTTAGGTGGCAGTGCAGATAATGTTTTGTCTCAGATTGCAGCTCAAAGAAGAAAAGCAGCAGGCTTACCTGAACAGAAACCCAGCCAACAGCATAGTCCAGTCCAGTCAACTCCTTCATCCACCCTGTCTGATTTGCAGTGTGCTCAAGTTGTTGGCAACGGACATGTGGTAAAGGTACACAGAAATGTAAATTTTTGTATTTCCAAACTGGCTGATTTTAATAGGTCGTGTCTCAGTCGTGGATGGTTGGTAAATGTAACTGCATGACATTGCACAGCCTAAAATGAAGGAACTAAAGTTACAGTAGTGAAAACTTTTCAGCTCCACAAACATTTCTTTTCATTACGAGTCTACAAAAGATCAGACCTAATAATAAAACGTGATTTTACTTTATTATTAATTTCACTCTATTTTAAGAACAGTAAATTAAATACTTGATCTTAGCGTAGATCTGCACTTATTTTGGTTTCTCATTTCTTTCTGTGGCCCTGTTTGGGACCAGTGTTTTACGTTAGTTATTCCGGGGCTTTACTCTGTAGTAGTATAGCTAGTTTCCCTCCGAAGGCATAATCTGAGTGCAGAACATGAGAGAATTTGTACCAGGATCTGCCCACCACAGCAATATGCATGCATCCAGTCTGCTCCACAAGCTGTTATTTTTAAGCAGTGTGAACATTAAGTTGTCGTCACCAAAGTCAGGTTTTACTCCTGAGTGCAGACCGTGTTATCTGCACTAACCTATCAGTTTCCTGAAGTAGCTTTACCCTCATGACCTGCCCGTTTTTGTGCATATACTTTGAGTTAACAACTGTTTTGTACAAAATTTTTAAGGATTAAGATTTTAAATCTTCAAAATCTTCAGAGAGACAAGTTGGGAAGCAGCATCATAACAGAAGATGTGATACACTATTGCGAAATGCATGGATTTATTTACACAGGGAAAAATTACGTTTCAGAGAGCAAGAAAAAGCAAGCACATGATTTGGGGTTTTAGTTCTAATCTCTGGTATTCTGAAAATGTTAGAATACATGACCAAGAGCAAAATTTGTCATATTTTTGCTTGTGTAATCTCCAAACAGCTCGTTTTGATTTGTTTTGTTTGCATCTTTTCATGAGATAGTTCTTGAAGTTTTGCCTGAAGAAACAAAAAAGGCCATAGTATAAAATTATTACATTTGCTATCTCGTTTTGTGATGTCTTATATAGCAACATGAAGCAATACGTATGTTTAGTCAGTAAATACCAATGATAAAAAAGGTTACAAGGTTGTTTAGTGATTTAATTGAAATTTCTGGAGAACAAAAATCAGGAAAAGAAAAGCGTGCAACTACCAATGCCAAAACAGTTTTCATGAACAGTCACTTTGTCTCTGATCTATCAGTCCGGATTCTGAAAGGACTACTGGTTGCTTTTCAAAGGTGAGATTGAAAGCTAGTATTTATAACTCTGCTGGACCCTCAAAAGCTATGGACTCATGCCGGTTCTTTGGCACATGATAATCTTTCCTCTCTTTCTACCCCACATAGCTGCTTCCCAGGTTATAAATGATCTATTTCTTTCTTTCTTGGAGACAAAGCCACTTTATTATCCTCTTCCCTCATTAAAGTCCCCGCTACTGAACACCTACCAAACGCTTTTTCTCTCAGAGGTGGTCTGACCAATATATTTCTAATTAAACTCTCAGCAGTTCCTCTCAGCTTGTTTTTATCTTGGAAAGAATTTCAGAAGAGCTGCGTGTGTGCCTCCAAAAATCCTATTTTTCTCCAGTTATATTAGTTAGCCTATTACAAGATAATACTTGTGCCTGTGAGCTTTGAGCTGCAGATCTTGGGGCCTGTTGTTACAACAGTGCTCCCACTAAGAGGTTTGACTATTATTCCCACTCACAGTGGAAGACATTAGGGGATAAAGTAGTAGTGAGGTGCAATGTACTGCACATCATCTTCTGGGAAGGCAGTTCATCATACGGTTGAAAAGATTTTTAAACAGAAATTATGCCAGTGTGTTGGAAAGGCAACAGCTCTTTTAGTGCTCTTTGCTTAGATTTCTAGATGAATTTCAATCTATCCACCAAGAACAAAACATATAATCAGTGTGGATCTTGCCATAGATTTTCATGCGTCACATGTCTGAGGTGATTTTTGGGACACCGGTGTCGGGAGCACAGAATCACATAGGGATCCACACTGGTTGCAAGAGTTTAAACAGCCTACTCTGCTGTAATCAACAATATAAATGCTGAAAATTTAACGTCTATATCCATTGTGGAATTGCTCGTGCCCTCCCATTAGGATCATGCAGTCTAAACTTGGAAATAGCTGATCTAAAAATGTAGCAATGTTACACTAGTCAGTTTTGCAGAAGTTATCCATGAGGGGTGGGATTGTGCAAGCCTTAAAGAAAGGAAAAGAAAAACTGAATACCAATTTACAGGGTGATGTAGTTTAAATAAATGCAGACAATGCGCCAGAGAGGGAAGACTGTTCTGAAACACAAATAGCCAATAACAGAATACAGGGAAATTTAGGAATGTAGTAGGCGACAAAAAATTCAAATGAGTTCACGGTGCTTTTCAGAGACCTCTCAAATTTGTATCGTGCTACATTACTTCGAGTCAGTTCAGATGGAGGGCTAAGGAGGTAATACATTGTGACACAGGAGAGAGTGATGAAAGAATGTTACCACTCAAATCAGTTTTATCTTTTTGATCTGCATCTCTTTCATGAACTAGAAAGGTTCCATTTATGCCACAGCACAGAAGCAAACTTGTGGAGAGGCAGGAACCACCGTCATTCTCCCTTCTTGCCTTGTTACTCAACTTTTTTCTTACATTTTTCTTGTAGCGGCCTGACGGACAAAAGGTATTTTAAGTTAAACTCTGAATTCAGGAGAAAGTTACCTAGACTTCTTCTTAGGTCACATAATGCAAACATCCAAATGTGCAAAGTGATAGGTAGATCAAGGAATTTAGGAGGTGAGGTACATTAACTTGTTTTGGAAATGACTGATATACATACACATATATTCTTATTCCTCATTTGTAATTCGTCTGTTTTCCTGTCTTCCATGGCTACAAATTTAACAAATATTTTGCAAAATATTTGATAAATTCGAAATAATTTGACTCATGTTAGGTAATAACAAGTTAAGGGTTTGACTGGAAACTTTCATTCCAGTGCAACATGGGGTTTAAATGCATCCAGAACTTAGTTTATGCTTGCAACGTATTTCTGGTTAATCCAGCATGAAGTGCTACTTTAAATTAGCATCTGATATACTTCGAAAAGCTTTAATTGAGGCCTTATTCATTTCATTAAATCTCTGAATGAGAGAGACTTGTTTTCAGAGTCAAAACAATTTCGACTTTTATAAAAAGAATAATTGTAGTGCTTATACATACTATTGCTTTATAAGAAATCATTTTCTTATTCCAAAATTACAGCCTTAAATCTATTTTCCTTGATGAGTTTCAGGGGACAGACCTTTACCTGAGATAAATCAGTATTGCTCCAATTGTTTCAATATGAATCAAGCAGAAGCTTCTAGTTTTGACTGCATGCTCTGCAGAAATAACATGCAACTTAAGTAATATTGAAGCATAGTATATAGGTAAACGCTTTTTTTTGTTTCCTAACTGAAATGACTGTATCATTACCTACAGCAAAAACTGGAGATGAACAAAAGACCTCCATCTGGGACTTCATCTACGTCTAAAAGCACATCGCCAACTCTCACACCATCCCCATCACCCTCCCCGTCTCCTAAGGTCCACAACACAGAGTCCTCTCTCTCTTCTTCTCACAGACAGGCCAAGAGCAATGGTTCCAGCAGTGGTACGATTACGGAAGATGGTGAGTAGATCACTGTAATTATAGGAGGTTTGTTCATCGAGAGCACAGAGTGTTTAAAGCTGTAGCTGTACTGCATTAATGTGTATCTGCATGAGAGCGAGCACTTTTTTCTTTCTAGAAAAAATATTTTTGTGTTTCTTACTGCAAGATTGCCATTCCCACAGTAACTGTGGCTATTTCTCTCCTAAAAGCTGTGATCCCTTCTGTTTAGAGCGAGATTGGTACCATCGTAAAGCTAACATAGAGCATGTAGGTAGGCCACTAACATGGCCACCTTCCTTCCCCTGTTCCTGGTTTTCACCCTTTGCTGAGGGTAGAAAATGCACTTTCTCCACATTCGTAATGAAAATATATTTTTAAATAAATGCAATGAATTTTCACTATGGAAATACAATTTTGATTCATAGACAGTCATAACTACATGCAGTTGATTTTTAAGAGCCGTATTGCATTAATGTTTTTTAATTGCAAAAATACCTTTATTTTGGCCTTATTTTTAACTTCAGGTCATAAGAAAGGCTAATAATGTTATCACTTTTCCGAAAAGATTACTGTCTTTTAGGTTGAACTTTTAGGTCTAAATTACAACCCTTTGTTTTAAAGAGTCATGTTACTGCATTGGAAATCAGAAATCAGACATCAATGACTCTGTTTTCTTCTGTAAACATCTCAAAAAGTGAAAAAAATAACATGACTCAGAATCTTTTCAATAAGAGATGAGGGTACTTTTTACCGGGTTTCTGCAAGAGCCGCTTAGTACTATTTTTGTTTTTTTAAAAGTGTCCGTATTGATTTTGTTTTCATTTATGCTAACTTTTGTCTGTTGACACTGTACTTTCCATTTGGCACTAGAGAGGGAATATTTGACCTGCTTTCTGTCCTCTTATCATGGCTTAGCTGTAACATATTGTACTGACTGCTGGAGAAAATCCTTTCACATTTTAGTTAGTGCCATTTTATAACGATGGCTTTATAACACAAGAATTGTCAGTTCAGAAATATACAAAGTGAAGGGAACTCGCTGTCAGATAACAAGGGGAATTCTCCAAGCTATCAGCTGTTATAATCTCACCTGGAGAAGCAGGACTTTGTGGCCACACCACTAGTGCTGTGATACAGTGAGTTTCCTCTGTAACAGGGGGATAGGTTGTCAGAAACCTAAATAGTTCTGGGTTCGTTATGTGTATAAGCTTTTGGAGTTGAGTGGCCCTTCAATCCAGGGGCCTCTCTTACTGTGGGTTGGTTTGGTGGCAACAGCACCAATGCTCATAGGCCCATCAGTAATCAGAAGAGTAAGTACAGAAGGCTCTCCTGCAATGTTAACTATTCTTTTTCTTTCAAGTAAACTTAAATGAATTATAAAATTGATTTGCATTAAATACTACTGTGAAGGAACAGTAGGCAGCAGACTTCAGAGGTGTGCATGGTTTCTTTTTAGGCAACCAACTGGTGGACCATCAACAACTTGTCCCTATTCTGAGAACCAGCGATGTAGACAATCATGAAAGACGAAACCATGTGAGAGTAAAAGGAGGTTCTGAAAACTTGGAGAAAGGTAATCTTATCCTACTAGAGGTGCTAAATAGGAGTAATGTGGCAGAATTAATAAGAACTCTGAGAACCTTTGCTTTCTCCAGGGATGTACGTAAGGAAACAGGATATGAGTAGAGCAAAAGAAAGACTTAGTAAAAAAGCAGAGGAGAAGCAATATGTTAACATGGGAGTTGTAAAACTGAGAGGTTTCAGGTTTTGTTCAAATTTAATGTATAATGCAGGAACTGAAAGTGAGAAAGAAGGAAAGAAAATATGAAAGGCCTACAGCTGAAAGCATTGTGTCTGTGTGTGAAAAGTGTTAGATGTTATAGTTGTTTATGACAGCAAGGCTCTGGGCTCAGAGACTCTGAAAACTTCTTTGCATATCATAAACCCGTAATTTAAGCACAACAGTGTGATGAAACATGAGAAGGCTAGTTGACGACCTAAAGGAAAAACAGGTTAATAATGTTTCTAAAAGCTTATAATGAAACTTTTATTTTCTTTTTGTAAGATGATATTTTTCACGAAACTGCATGGAGAAGTTCTCATGCTATGCTTTTAAAGCTGGTTACCTTTTCCCATGGATTAACCTTAGTTAGGGTATAAAGCTTTTAGCCTGAAACTATGCCAACCTTTAAATCATGTTAAGCATACCAAATTAACTGGCCTGGAGGTAAAAAAACAAAACCCTAGCAGAAAATATTTCGGTTGAGTCTTTTTTCACTTTAGTTTTTTGTGGGATCTTCTAGGTAAAAAAGGAGGCTTTCAGAATGGTGCATAGAAAGCTGCGTCCATCTCAAGATACTTAATGTCTTTTGAGAAGCTTAGAGAGTGAGATTCCCTTTCATGTTTCTGATGATGAAAGAAAAGGGACAGTCAAAAGACAAAGAAATGAACTAAATAAAAGCAAAGTATATTTGGGAATGCAATAGTGATGTCTTTACAATGAAAGTGAGTTTATATGGGAATATTAAATACAGTTTGGTTGTGTAAAGTAATCATTCATATTCTTCTTTTTGACTTTGACTCCTTAGTTTATCTGACCGCTTTGGTACTTTTAGGAAAAAAAAAAATTAGTCACTTGTGGCAGTAAAGCAATAAAAACAAAGAGAATACTTAGTTGAGAGAGGTAGTGTGTAATTAAGAGAGGTAATGGTGGGTTATTCTAAAACTACACTTACACTTAGTGTTTTAACTGGCTAATCACATTTTAAGTGTGTGGGAAGACTCACTATCAGGTCCTCCAACTTTGAATTTCCTTAGACTTTGAGAGGAAACCCAATATCCAGTACTGTTAGCCTGTGTTTTAGGCACTGAAGTGCTTAAGTTGTCCTTAGCGGTTTGGTCTTTTAAGATCCTTTTAATGTGGAAGAAAGGGTGATACAACAGAAAGATTTTATCCTAGCAAGGTAAGACTAGATGGAATTCCAGTATACTGAAGTAGGTGAGAACACAATAAGCCATTACTTTAATTTGTGATGCAGAGTAAATGTGGTTGGGTTTCTGATCTCGTATATCACTGTATGGAGTATGTTTTAATATATATCTTCAGCAGTTAACAATGCAGAGATAACTAAAATCTTTCCTGATCTATGTTGTTTTTTTTTTTTTTTTGTCTTCTTTTTCTTTGCTAATACTACAGATGAGCTGACTGGCATCCTTAAAAAATTGTCCCTTGAGAAATATCAGCCTATTTTTGAGGAACAAGAGGTACGTCTTTTTTAAAAGATTTACTTTTTACTGTTTTAGAAAAACTAGCATGCAACCGCATATTGCCTCAGAATTGTGATGCAGAATCTCAAATTTAAAGTTTTACAACCGCTTCTGGTTGCAGAGAGGACCTTGAAACATGGACCAAGCGGTATTCCTGGCATTCTCCAGGATACTGCAAATATCAGTGCTTTTTACACTGAACCTACGGTTTTGATATAGATAGGTGCTTTGGATTTTTTTTTCTGTCTGTTCACTCTGCTTTTTCTATATATGTCTATATTCAACGTGGCTAAACAGTTTATAAGACATACTGTATTATCCCTGGAATCACAGCTGGAACCTCATTTGCAGATGGAGAACAGCAGGCTGTGAGTCACCGAGATGGCTGCTTTCTCTTCTTTATCTGCTATGAATAAGCAACAGGAGAATTAAATTGGGGAACCTAAGCATCACTGTAGAGGAGGCCTGTGACAGTAACTTGCCTGAAGGATGCAATGAAAGGAAACATTGCTGGAAATAAGTAAAAGTAATTCATTACAACATTTAAGACAGAATCAGATGTGAGTGATAATTGTGTGTTGGTTTGGCCAAAGGCAGAGGGTAGTGAATGAACATAAAATTGCTACAGAGTTCAGGACAAACACAAACAAATTATTTAGCTGCATCAGAACACACAGTGGGCTTATTATTGTTCCCCTAGCTGATAGAGAAAGGAGCATTTTGTGGAAATGAATGTGCTCTGTGTATGAAGGTTATATCAATATGAAAAGTTTTAGATGATAGAATGGTTTGGGTTGGAAGGGACCTCAAAGATCATCTAGTTTCAACCCTCCTGCTACAGGCAGGGACACTTTACCTTATGTCAGGTTGCTCAAAGCCCAATCCAACCTGGCCTTGAACACTTCCAGGGATGGCACAGACACAGCTTCTCTGGGCAACCTGTTCCAGTGCCTCACTACCCTCATTGTAAAAAATTTAATCCTTAGATCTAATCAAAATCTACCCTCTTTCAGTTTAAAGCCATTACCCCTTATCCTAGCACTACATGCCCTTGTAAAAATCCCTCTCCAGCTTTCTTCTAGGCCTTCTTCAGGTATTGGAAGGCTGCTATAATATCACCCTGGAGCCTTCTCTTCTCCAGGCTGAACAGCCCCAACTCTCTCAGCCTGTCTTCATAGCAGAGGTGCTCCAGCCCTTGGATTATCTTCATGGCCCTCCTCTGGATCCACTCCAACAGCTCCATGTCCTTCTTATGTTGGGGACTCCAGAGCTGAACACAGTATTCCAGTGGAGTCTCATGAGAGCAGAGTAGAGGGACACAATCATCTTCCTGGACCTGCTGGCCATGCTTCTTTGGATGCAGCCCAGGATACAGTTGGCTTTCTGGGCTGCAAGCGCATGTTGCTGGGTCATGTTCAGCTTCTCATCCACCAGCACTCCCAAGTTCTTCTGCCTAGGGCTGCTCTCAATCCATTTTCCACCCAGCCTGTACTTGTGCTTGGGATTGCCCCAACCCATGTGCAGGACCTTGCACTTGGCCTTGTTGCACTTCATGAGGTTCTCACAGGCCCACCTCTCCAGCCTGTCAAGGTCCCTCTGGATGGCATCCCTTTTCTCCAGCATATCAACCGCACCGGACAGCTTGGTGTCATTGGCAGACTTGCTGATGAGAGTGCACTCAATCCCGCTGTCCATGTCTCCAACAAAGATGTTAAACAGCACCAGCCCCAGTACCGGCTTCTGAGGAACACCACTTGTCACTGATCTCCACTTGGACATCGAGCCGTTGACCACAACTCTTTGAGTGCGACCATCATGTTTGTTCTTATCACAGCCTTATGGATGTGTTGATATAATAAAAATTGATATATGAACAAACGCTAGGTTTTTCTCAGGAGACACTAGAAAAGTACATATAATATTCTGAAATTCCAAAAGTTTTTGTGAGGGGGAGGTGTGGCAAAAAAGGAAAAAGAGAAATCTTCGGCTTATTCAACTAGCTGCTACTGTAAATAGATGATTTTTTGTTGAGAGTATATATATTGTATTGACAGTGCTTGTCTAAAAAAAACCCAGAAAATTCCATTAATACTTTAAATATACTATCATAATTAATTAAATTATTAACAGCAGGTTTAAAACTCTACAACAGAGTGGTAAAGTGGGTACCATTTGGTGCTGGTAATTCCTTAAAAATTTTTGTGTGACTAATATTTATAGGAAGTGTATAGAATTAAAAAAAAACCAACCAACCAAACACTTTTAACCTGTAATAGTGAATCTTTGCCTAGGTAAATTTGTCTTATCTTTTTTTTTTTCGCCCTCCCATATGCAGGTGGATATGGAAGCCTTCCTCACACTTACTGATGGTGATTTGAAAGAGTTAGGTATTAAAACTGATGGATCAAGGCAGCAAATTTTGGCAGCTATTTCTGAACTGAATGCAGGAAAGGTACATTTTGAAGTACTGTACTTAGTAAATTAATTCAAGGTTTGCTTATGTTGTTAATCCAACATACATTTCAAAATTCAGTTGAAGATGTTAGTTAGAAAAGCCAAATGAATATTTTTCAAGCAAAATATTTAATGTATTGCGTTAGTGAAAAATATCTTCCTTTTTGGTACTCCCTGTTCTCTTTTGTTAACTCTTCCCTAGTTCAGTGACTGTACAGTTCTTTTACAGAGAATTGGAAATCATATCAGAACCTACTGTTAATGTAAACATTGGCAGTATTGCAGTTGCTGAATATTAGTTTCAGTGATGCTAAAAAGAACCGTCTGTCCACTGTAGTCCAGCTCTAGAATGTAGTGTAAAAGGAAAGGTCTCCTTTGTTTTCCCTAACAGTTCTTGATTTCTCTGTGATTTGGTAGATAGCACTTCTCTCATTCCTGATGCTTTTATTGCCTTTTAATTTTATATTGACATGATTCAATCTGCTAAGAATGGCATACAGTATGCAATGTCCTTGTCAGAAGGATTACGGACTGGAGCATCTCTTTAATTAGTCCTGCTGACACTTCTCAGCTGCTTTTTCAGTTTTGACATCCATTGTCTCTCTGATACTGGAAGCTCAGGTAAACAAAACATAAAAGATAATCTCTCCAAGTTAAGAGCAGCAGCAAGTGATTAAGCTAAAAATGAGGGGAGGTGGATGATGGTTTATGGTATAAAGTGATGAAGAAAATAATGAAAATGGTTCCATTGCTGTCTGGCAGTTTCAGGGAGAGATTACTACAAGGCTTGCTAGATATCTGGGAGGTAAGGTTTTGCTATTATTCCTGATATTACACTGTGACTCTCTGGGCATAGATGCACATATTTGCACGTTTTTTTTTGTGAACTCTTAATAAATTCAATTTTTAAACAGAAATTTAAGAATACCTCATTTTATTGTGTTTTTACAGGGACGAGAGAGACAGATTTTACAAGAAACTATACACAACTTCCACTCTTCTTTTGAGAGTAGTGTGAGTAACACACGACCTCCAGGTCATTCCCAATGTAAGTAGCACCTGAAATGAATTGAAAAATGTGTGAATACTTTTAATTAATACTGGCTAGAAGATAGAATGTGGCAAGCAAGGCAGTTCACTGCTTTCTGGGTTAATGATTGATTTGTGTCTGCGTCTCTTGCTGAGACTGTAGAGAAGATTTCAAGGTAAAAAGGTGGAGATATCTAAGATTTTTATACACGCTTCAGTACTGTCTGAAATAAGCATAAGATTTTTGTTATGCATTACTAAACACAGAAAATGGATGTAAGTATAGCAAACTATAGCATACAGTATGCTGTACATAGTGTGTGTATATACATATATGTGGCAGCAGTGGGAGGTGCGTTTCTGTATGATACATAATTTACTTTTGCATACTCTTGATAGGAGACAATTTTCTCTAGTGTGATCAAATAAATATATTCAGGGTTTACAATTTAGTATACTGGCTTAGAAAGGTGTTTTAATTATGTATGTATGCATTTAGTTTTTGTATAGGTAATATTTTTATATGATTGTCTATAGTCAGTTTCTTTGGAATACATCTGTTCCAACCACCAGTGTTAATTGCAAGCTGTTGCTGAAGAAACTGCTTTTAAAGTGTCCTATCTATAATCAAAATGTACAGAAAGATGTTGCTGACCTGGAACAAATGAATACGTTTACTGTAGTCACCCCTAGATAAAAAAGTCGCACATCTCTGTCCTGCCAGCCACCTGAGCCAAAGGCAGATACACATCTGTTACTCGAGGTTAAAGAATGGGGCAAAACCTATTTGTATGTGTATTTCTGGTTCCGTGTTTTAGGAGCAACGTGAAAGCCATTGAATGGCCTCGAGAAATTCACCATGTTAAAGTGCCTCTTGCTCTCCTTCAGTTGCTTATTTTGCTGCTTGCATCCACTCACAAAACCATTTTATTCATTTAGTGCTTATGTTAAATAATATTTGAGGTACTGTATGCTTTAGGAGGCTTTATAATGAACAAGTCCCGGTCGTTCCCATCTCAATCAGCTGAATATCACTAGATATGTGAAAGCAGATACCAACTGTAGTCCTGCTCCTGTCTTCGGGAAGACTGGGCATTGCTGGGGTAGTTGGTCAATGTAGGCTACTTTCTATATTCTGTATAGTCTGCTTGGCTGAAAGCCACTATCAGATGTCACTGTATGCATTGTGCAGCTTCCTTCCTGTTCTCAGAGTAGTCAGCATATGTGGGAGCTTCTGGATGTCTCTTGATAACATCCCAGACTTGAAGAGCCTCTTCTGTAGGTACTACTAGGTGAGCAGAAGCTGGTCTTTGGGATTTGATAACATGGCGCAATGAAGTGGAATTACTCAAGAACTGAAGAAGCATATGGATGTAACGTGTCTCCAAGCAACTTGTTGAGCCTAACAACTGAGCTTAAAAGTGTCTTGAAGACAGCGAAAGACGGTAGTGGTGACACAGAGTTGGGGAGAACATCCTTTTATAAGAATGGAGGCAACAGTTGCTCCTGCTGACCAGTTGACAGGATGCTGCAAGGAGGCTGCCATCAGAGATCTGGCTTCTGAGGTTTTGTGTCGGAGAGCTCCATGAAATAGATTTGGCTGTGAAACAGCAACAGAAACACTAACAGAGAAGGAAGAAGAAAACATGTAGATAAAGGAAGTTTCCACACCAGGTAAGCTGCTTTTTGTTGTAAAAAGTAGCAATGGGACCCTTATGCAGTCTCCGGAACTTGAAGTAATTTCCAGGAATGTGTAATATTTTAGAGCATGAGAGCAGCTGTACTGAGTCAGATCCAAGGTCCATACAGTTGTGTTCGGCTCCTTCATCTGATCTTATTTGACGTTGTTGCGAAGAGCTGCTTGCTTTCACTTGCTGTGAACTTGCCATGTCCTGAGTTCTCTTGCTTCATCCTACTGGATCAGAAGATACAGTGGACAATTGTTCCTTCTTCACTGCCTTCACGCCACTGATGATTTTACAGATGTCCGTGACACTCTTCCTCAGCCATGTTTTTTTCCAGACGGAAGGCTTACAAGCTGCTTAATCATTCCCTATGCTATAGTTTTTCTGACCTCTTTTCCTCTTCTGTTACATCCTTTCAGATTTGGCAATACCAGCCTAGCATACAGTATTCAAGATGTAGGCACACCCTGGATTTTACACGTGACACAGTGACGTTTGTTTTTCAGTTGTGTTCTCTATTTTCAGTTCTCTTAGCCTTTCCTAATTATTTCTACTACTTTGCTTTTTTGACTGTCACTGAAGACTGAATTGGTATTAATTGGAACTATCACTTATAACCCAGCTCATCTACTGAGTTTGAGCTCAGAGCCTATAATTCCATATAACAACTCACACATCATTTTTTCCATATGCCTTACTTCATATTACTTCATTAGACATATTTACATACATTACTACATTATACAAATCTTCTATTCATACATATTTATCTTCATCAAATTTTGTCTTCCATCTTACTGTCTGGGTCCTGGTGTCTCATGACGTCCTTTCACCAGTCTTCTGTTTGCCTTTCTTTTTGTTTACATGGATAACTCTGGAAAGTTTGTCACTTCATTCTGTGTGCCCTTTTGAAATCATATACTGAATGTCCTGAGTCCTCGTGCAGATCACTGCAATGCTAGTGGTGACTCTCTCTGTGGTGGAAAAAAATCACTGTTTACTCCCACCGTCTGTTCTCTGCCATCCTAACCGATTATTTATCCACACAAGAAATTTTGTTTTTACCCTCTGGCTTCCTTATTGTCTTAAGAGCCAGCCTTGGACCTTGTGAAACGCCTTTTAAAAATCCAGGCATGAAGTGGATCTCTTTTATCTACAAGGCTGTTGGCACCTTCAAGGAATTACAGTAGTTTGGTGAGGCAAGACTTTTGAAACCCCTTTTTGATTGTTTTCCACAAAATTTCAGATTCTTTGTTATAGTTTATGCTAAGCTGCCTGGTACTACTGTCCATCTCACTGGTCTGTGTTTCCCTGGATCTCCTCTTGAACCATTAAAAAAAACGACATCATTTTTATTGCTTCTCAGTTATGTGGCAATTTAAACAAGAACCTGTGCTCTGTATTCAGCAGTTCAGCTGGTTAATCCTCGTGTTCCTCTAGAACATGTGGCTTAGCAATTTGTTACTATTTGCTTTGTGTATTTGTTTCATAACCTTTTTTACCAATACTTCAGGTTAAGATACTTTGGCCTCCCACATAAAGAAGGCTTCTGAAATGGGAACCTTCTCAAGCTTTTCCATGGTGAATACATTTAGGTTTTCTGATGTGATCTTAACTACTCTAGCTCATTACACTCTAATCATTGATTGGCATCATGGTGTCTGTAACTGGCTGGCTTCTGTGATGTGCTTGAAAAGTAATATGTGAATTTTTTTATGCTTTTTGCATGGTCCACAACCACTGGTTTCTCTACAGCTCTTCCTAGGAACCTGTCCTGGACACCATTAGCAAGAAAGTCACCTCATGATTTGCCCTTTTAAGAAGCTAGATGTAGCTCACAGGATAATAAAACCATCCTGCTCTTTCGGCTGTGTCAGTATCACTGTTCTCACACCTATCACTGTGATTTCCTCAATATTTTGAGTAATTTTGAAAGCTCAATACCTGACAAGGTGGCTGTCAGCGTAGCTCTGCTTTTAGGATGTTTCTAGCTTGTAGGTGTGTAAAGAAGATAATGGAATACAATCCAAACATATCCATAAGATTCAGAAATGAAAAAGCAGGGGAAAAGAAGCTAAATCCTCACTTTCTGGAAATGTAGTTTATAATTGTGAGAAGTCTGTAGGCTGACTACCATCACCAAGCTCACGCATGTCTGCAGCTTCCACACCCTTCCTCATCCCTATAGCTCCAATGTCCACTTAGCTTCAGTTCGTCCCAAAATGCCTTAATCCACACTGCCCAGGCTCAGCCCCTCTCCTGCTGCCACTGGGTCAGGAGCTATTGCTGCTCATCAAAGCTGGTATGAGATGGCAGGCAACAGAAATAGAAAAGCATCTAGGTGAGTGTTTCTAGAATGGAAGAGAGGACTGCAGTACATTTACACTTACAAGGAATGCAGGAGAAGGAAAACAACAGTAGGCAGAAAAAGTAAAAGCAAGACCATGAGAAGTAGAGGGTTGGTGGTGTAACTAATTTCACACAACAGACTTGTTTAGAGAAGATACTACAGGTTCTTCTCGATAGTTTTTTGGCAGTTTAAAATCAATTCCCGTCTTGTTGAATCCTCAGTTAGCTTCTGGCGAGGTCCTCCTTCTGGTGAGCACCTCCTGCTGAGGTCTTTGCATCTGAACTCACTGTAATACTACAAGAACTTGTAGAAAGGTTGTTGAGTGCTCGTTGGGTTTTGGCAGATGAGCTATTTCAGTTATTACAAAGCTCACTGCTGGCAGAAAGATAGCTTTGTACGTCAGTTGCTGTGTCATCCCTGGGGCTGGAAGTGAGACAATTCTTCTTTGCAGAAGATAACAGGCTTTGACATGTATCTGTTTTCTATCAGAAGGGTACTGAGACCATGTCCTCCACACCTCACACCAGTGATACTAGGTTAGAGAGTGGGAGCTCCATATTCCAGTCCTTGCCTGAGCTGCTGTCATCGTTTAACCCCGCCGGCAACTAAACACCATGCAGCCGCTCGCTCACCTTCCCCCACCCCCAAGGAATGGGGAAGAGAATTAAAGGAGAAAAGGGAAGGATACTTGTGAGTTGAGATAAGAGCGATTTAATAATTGAAATAAAGTTAATAATGATAATAATAAAAACGATAATACATCAAATGATAATAATATATACGAAGAAGCGATGGACAGTGTAATTGCTCACCACCTGGTGACCAACGCCCATCCTGTCCTGGCAAGCAATCCCAAAAAGAGAGAAGTCCCGAAACCACAATCCCAAAAGAGTGAGAGGCCAGAAAAGAGGGATTTGAAAAGAGAGCAAGAGAGGGATAGAACTCTGAGAATCCCAGAACCCAAACTTTCCAACCAACCTTCATTTATATAATGGGCATGATGTTGCATGATATGGAATATTCCATTGGCCAATTTGGCCCTCAGTCTTAAATATAAGCTCAAATCCTGAACTAGGAGTTGTGGGCCCTTTGTCCTGGCCATGCTCCCCCCAGCCTGTTGTGCTCCTGCACACTGACAAAAACATGGGAAGCTGAAAGGTCCTTGGTGTCTCAGCACCAACTGTAGACATCAGTGCACTATCAACATTCTTCTCATAGCAAATCCCAGACTAAATCCAAAACACAGAGCTCTTCTGGCTGCTAAAAGAAAACTAACTCTGTCCCAGACAAAACCAGGACAACTAGATGACTGCCCTAATTGCAGTATAAAACAATTACGGGTTACTGGACCTGTAAGCCATTAGGTTCAGTGGCACCATAGTTCTTGTCCCTATTCGGAATAGGCAAAAGTACTTGCGTAAAGAGTGTTGCTTTTGTCTCTTTTTTAATAGAAATGAATTTGTGACCTTCAGAAAATTCTGCTGAAATTAATTTATTGCAAGAGTGAATGTTACGGTGTTTTTTGACACTTTGGTAGTTTTCAAGGGAAAAAATTATGGCTTGAAAAATTGCTAATGCGTGCTAATCACGCTGTCCCTGACAAGAGAAGCTACTAGGAGGAGACTGCTGCTTTATAACCCAGTGAAATATGTCAAACACAGAATGAGCTTGCTGCTTCACCGTATAAATTCAGAGTAGATGACCAGCCGCCCATGGAGCCATGAGGCAAGATGACTGCTCAGAGGAACAAAACATTCCTGGAGGAGGCTTCAATGGAACACCAAGCGGCAGCATGAAGTCCAGATTTCTGAGGAAACTGGATTTAAGAAATCGTATCCCCCTCCGGAAATGTTTATGTTTGTAGTTTGAGGCAACCTTTTTGCTTACATGATTCTGATGAAAATCAGACTTTTTGAATGCCCAGTTGCCGGGACTAATTGTTCAGGGTTGTTTATTTTGGCAGGGGTAGTTGTGTCAAGACTCATGCAGCAATCATCAAGTGGATAATTAAGAGGTTGAACAGATCTGGCAGTGGTCTGCAGGTTAATTGAAGGAAATTACACCAAAGGAGAGTGAGCTGCATCTCAAAACAGACTTGACAAATCAGAAACAGAAAACTGAAAAAAATTGATGGATTCTATGAAACTCTGTGCAAGAAAAAAAGGAGCAAACTAACTGAAATTATTTCCCCCAGAATAGTAGAAATAAAATCCCATGTGCTAGTTATAATACATTTATAAAGTAGTGTCAAATTTTAGATCTGTGATGACATGGTTCATGGAGTTCCCTTTCCAAATCTGGGGCTTGTAATAGAATTTGCCATTTCTACAAAAATGACATGAAAAAAAGCAAGACAACATCCAGGGTTTGTACTCTGAAGGGCACAATCTTCTTTTTCTCCTAGGGCATTTCTTAACCTCATTATGAAAAAAAAATTAACAAAGATTTGTTGAAGGTAAAGCTAACTGCCAGTTAGCTTAGTTTGCCTTCTAATACCAAGTTTATTGAAATACTCGAAAGAAAAAGCTGAGCCTTATCACATGGTATAGAAATCCAGCTGCTCTCCCCCACCTAAACATAACACTTCTTTTGTAACAGGTGGGAAGAAAAAGGAGCAAATACTCCAACACCTAGGAGGGGCACTGAGCAAAGGGAGGATTTAGATACCAAAAGAATAAACTGAATATTCTCCAGATACAAGTTAAAGGAAGAGTAACTATGCCTATGATGAAAAAAGAATATGATGCCATTCAATCTATAATTCTTTGCGGTAATTCCGGTCTTCCAGTTTCTCTGTACGTATGATAGTATGTTGCATACTGGTACATGCTTAGACATATGATATGACTTACAGATACATATGAGGGTGTTTTAAAAGAGGTGACAGAATAGAGTGGAAGAGAGTGGGGAGCCATTTGTATGTTTACTTTCTACTTTTGGATTCAGAGTCAGAAATACCAAATGGAAATTATCCAAAGGAAGGAGTTAGAGAGATTGCAGAGTCAGAAGTAAAAACAGGAGCAAAACCAATTTAGACTTGCAAATAAAAATCGTACAGGATTCAGGAAGTCACTTGCTGGAAAGGTACACATTGAGAAAAGAGAGGTACTGGAAAGGCTTGTGGCAGTAGATGGATGACCTTTTCACATGACTTTGACTTCTCATGTCCTCCGTACAGGAAAGGGCTTAAGATGAATAAAATGAATTACAGGGTCAAATTGTTAGAGTCTGGGATAACAGTGATATTGGGAAATGTGGGCCTTTTCCTGATAGCTGTGGAATTACTCTGTCTTCTTTTAAGCTGTGAGTCTTGCTAGTTGCAATTTTTCAGATTTTTTTTTTTTTTTCTTTTACAGCACCTGGCTGCTCTATTAAACCACAAGAAGCTGCTTCTTCTAAAAGGTAGCTACTGGAAAAAAAAGATTATTTTTTTTCTTACGGTGAAGTTTGGCATCTGGCTGAGTAAATCCAAGTGTACAAATGAAAATTTGAAAAGTTAGTCCTAACTACACCTGTATAGGACTTTGTGCAGTAATGTACTTAAAATTCGAATCCCACAAAGAATCTAAGAAAACAATAAAGAGATTGCTTTTATAGTTCCATGTAAGTGTGGAATTGTTTGAGGTGTCAGTCATCTGGATTTCAGAAGAACAAAGTCAGAAGAGCAGGAAGAGTGAATGACCGTATAAGAAGATGCATGTTTTCATTTTACTCTTGCCCGTAGATGAAGAATCCATAGGAGGCCTCCATGGACACATGGAAGAAGGCATGAAAACCTCCACAAATTATGAGAGTTTCTACATGGAGACTTTTATAAACTGAATGTTCTTCTGTTGGCTGGATACAGATAAAGGAGTCGAAATTGAAAACATAATGGTTTTGTGAGAAGGAATATACAGGAAAAGTAATGCTGCATTCTTCATTAACCAAAATACATTTTATCTATTCAATATTAAGAGGTTAGAACAGCAGTAAAAGTAAATATGAAATACCTGTTTGTAAAAATAGCACTTTATTTAAGGAAATGCATAATCTGTCACCAATATTTAAACAGAAATAGTGATAAAATATTTTATATTTCCGATCAGTTGTTTTGAGAATAAAACCATTTAACTGATCGTGGCTGGGTTTTTTTTTGAACAGTAACATTAGCAGATCCTTAAAATACGTTTTTATAACTTTATTTGTGTAATAATTTTGAAAGGACTAGCATAGTGATTATGAATGGTAATAATTTTCTGCTTAGTAAATAAAAATTTTTGTTGAGCAATTAAAATAGAAGTCATCAGAAGCCTCTCACACTGTATTTATCTTTCTGAAGACTCACAAATATGTAACTTTACCACTGGGTGAATTCAGTGCGAGTCCAGGAGTGATGATGCAGGTAAGGTGAGGAAGATCTTGGAGCTCCAGTGCAGAGGGGTGATCACAGGTAATTACTTCTGTACAGAACTAAAGATTTTACATTACTCCACGCTCCTCACTGTACTGGTTTTAGTGGAGTTTAACAAAAATAGGGGTCAAAGTGGGCCACTCTAGTGACTCTGGGTGTGTCAGCTGATTCTGTGATGGCATCACTGGTTTGGCCACCTGCGGTACTGCTCCAAGTTGCTGACAGCAAACAGCAGAGCAGTTGAGCTGAGCCACGTTACGCAGCTCTGCCATATCAGAGCTGACCTTGAAAACAGGTAGCGAAATCCCTGGGAAGAAGAGGAGGAGGAGGGGTTATCGAGGGATAAGATGGTTATGAGCCAATTAGGGCAATCAGAGCCTGTTAGACCCTGAGGTCCTTGGTGGTCGTGCTATTAACATTTCAAATGTTGATAATACAGCCATGTGCAAAATAATTTCTGTTCTGTTTTTCAGTGCACGTATGTCAACAAACTTAGAACACTATCAGCATTTAGCATGGTATTTTACGTTTGCCACGTCTTATGCCAAAGGAAATTGCTGCTTATGCAGAATTGTGCTTCAGGATTAATTTCAGCTTTAGGGTAAAAGTACATAATTTCTCACAGTTTCAAGAGCTGGTACTAAAGATGATATGGCAGGACAGATGTACAGTAATGTTGGGTGCAAACAATATAGGATTAAGCTAATGTAAAAAAGTAATAAGCTAAACTAAGCTATTAAGCTGCTTCTTTCTGAAGAAACTTGCACAGTTTTGGTTAAAACACTTCAAAATGCAGCAGAGAAAATCGCAGCGTCTTATTAAGACTAGGAAACAGTTCCTGCTGCTCAGCCAAAAACATGCAGTGCCACCTTGGAGCCCCAGTCAGTGTGACTGGGAATACGTGATCCGTAACAAGCCAAACCACCTCACCTGGTACGTAGTGCCTCTGGGCAGGACAATTTCCCTGTGCAGTTTTGTGCTTCTAGTGCAGCAGCTGGCAGTCCAGACATCCCATACACTCTGCGGAGGGTCGTCTCAAGCCCACTAATGGGGAAACCTCAAGGTGAGAAGGCTTCAGCCGTTCCTGTTCAGAGCTTGCAGGCCTTATTCTTTGGAAGGAGTAGTACTCGCCTGTGATAAATCGAGGGGATGGGTGTTTGGGGTTTTTTTAGGTCCTTTTCAGTAAGACATTGAACAATAGTTCAGTGTGAAAAACACTTGGTAAGGTTGAGAGATGCATTCTTTCTACAATCTGAAAGGGTTCAAATTCGCATATACCACTGCCCAGAAGACTGTAGGAACCTCAAGGCTATAAGGCAAGGTAGGGACGTGCTTCGTTCCCCTAGCCGAATCTGTCTCACCGTGCAGAAAGTAATTCAAGGTTCACGGAGTGCGGCCCCATGAGACATTGGTCTAGGATGGAGAAGAGTTAGGCTTTAGTTCCTCTCGATAGATTTATTTACCAATTCTTGAGCTACATAGTGACTGAGGATAAATAGTGCTATAAATTTGGGAATGTTAGCCCAAGTGCATCAAGGGACAAGCAGCAAAGTGATTTAAAACGGAACACGACACTGTCAAAGGAGACTGACCGACACTGTAGACTCTTTGTGTTTACACAACAGGCAGAAAGGGTTCCTCAGACTGTCCCATCAACAGGTCCCACTATCTAAAGAGTTAGCTTTATTAACACAGGAACAAAAAGACATGGTTTTAGAGTTTATAGAGTTCCTAAACTCTCTCTCTCTCTATATATATATAACCTTTCATTCCCAAACTCTCTCTCTCTCTGTATATATAACCTTTCATATCTTCTGCTGTGCGTATTTCTTAAAGGTGCTCTGTTCTTTCTGCCTGATTTAGCTGCCATTGTGAGTGGAGAAACATAACGGGTTGCCTACCACGGCTGCTTTTTATGGCTCTAAGTTTGCAACCGACAACTCCATTGAAGTGTCCATGTGAGGGCTGACACAGGGTAGCTGTACAGCCTCCCCTGTTGTGGGTGGAGGTCTGGTCAGTACGGTCACTGGGGCCCCAACAGCCAGTGTCTGACCAGCCTAGACTAGAAGCTTAATTCAGTTGTCCAGACATCCACTGGCACTTGCATGTCTTAGAGCATCCAAAGCACCCATAAGGGGTGCCAGAGATGACGCTAAGTGAAGGTCATGATCAGTTTGTTTGTTGAAAGCCGTCGCTTGGACAAAGAGACCATTCAGAGATGGAGACCATCATTTCATTGACCTGTCCTGATTTGTCACAGATATTTACAGGTGAAAAGCCGTTTCCTGTTTGCCGTTCATTTTCTATGTCCTCCTTTTTAGTTTAAATAAAAATCTTTGTTAGCAAAGTTTACACTGCTTGCCTCATAATGAAAAGTGATACCTTCTGGGTTTTGCTGAAGAAGTAAACACTAGAAGAAACAGTTCTTGTTGTGATTCAGTCTAGAATTATGGACTTGTCTAATCTGTAGTTGTTAACCCAAAGATGTCTACTTTGCAGTACAGGAGTACTGTTATTTTACAAGAAGCTTTTATAAGGTTCTTTAATTATTTTTTTTTCTGCACTTTGAGCTTTAATCAAGATTAGGTTTTAAATAAAGATACTTCATTATCTGGAAATGATTCAAGCCGTCATCTGTAGTATTTCTCGTGCTTGAGCAAATGCCTCGGAAGCCAGGTAGCTTCTCAAGGGAACTACTTTGGTTTCCAGAGTGAAGTGAAACGTAAAAGTCCATGCAAACAGATTTCTTTAATACCAAGATCACCTCAGTTTAGAATTGCTTGGCTGGTCTGACTCTGACACTAAGAGCCTCAAACTTGCCACTTCTAGATTTTATTTTATTTCAAAGCCCTCTTGGCAGTACAAGGGTGCATTTAGTGGGAACAGGCTTTGTCCATTAAACCTGAAAGTGCTTATGCTATATTTAAAGTTCATTTGGAATATTTAATTTCCAGTCTCTCAGAAGTTTGTATTATTCAAATAAACTGTTAATGCAATGTCCTCCTTACAGTGTCACAGCAAAGAATTGTTTCAAAGCAGTTTTTGCCACTTGGAAATCACAGCATTCCAGTGTGCCTTAAAACTTAATGGAGTTAACACACACTCATAAAAACAAAAGCAGATAGATTTTCGAAGTATGATTGCTGGATTCCCAACATTGCATCTGTTGCATTTTAATTGGCTTCTTATTCCTCCCAGTTCTCCTCAGTAGGTACGTACGGCACTCAGAATATGTCTGTCTGGTCTTGGGAGTGCCACATCATGGCCGTCGGCAGGGCAGCTGGTGCTGTACTGGAGCGGGGTTCTTGAAGGTGATCAATGTGAATGTAGAAAAAAAAGGCCCATTCGAGACACCTTCTTACAAATGGTCTAAAAATATTCTGTGTTCGTGGATATACTTGATACGTGGCTGTGAGTTCCTGTTTTGAGTAAGCCTAAGCGATTTGTAGCTCCACAGGATCGGTGGCCTGCAATTAGCTGGAGCGGAGTTTGCCGTTTTCGCTGAGTTGCGGAACAAAATCGCTTTGCACAAAGAGCAGCCAGTGAAGTGCAATGGATTTGTTCACTGTGGGCCCGATTTCTGTTGTTCTCAACAGATTTGTTCACATATGTTTCTTCCAAGTCGCTCTCTGCTGCCAGTTTGTCCTCAGAAGGGGAAGATGGAATGAAAGGAAGACAAATGAAAAAAAAAGTTAGGGGTAGAAGCACAGATAGTATTTTTACTAGGTTGGGATTACTGGTTTTCTTTCCAGGATCTGCCTCTCCTTTAGGCTGTTTCTTGAACAGTCAGAATTAATATTGAATGCCCTGGGACCCACTTTCTTCAGCAGCTCAGAGCTCCAAAGCACTCACTTTTTATCACAGGCTGGTTCAGAATCCTTTGCTCACCTTCCTTTACTCAGACACAGCGCAAACAGAAAGCATCATTTCATTCTCCGTGCTGGTAATTAAATGGTGTTTGCAGAGGTCCACCTTTCCAGCCTCCTGGGCCACAGAATACAAAACGCAGCTCCAACCTATAGGTGCTGCTAATACATGGTATCATTTATCTCCTGTCACACATT